CCAGGACGGGACGGTATGTGTCAAAGTGGTGGGACAAGACTTTCTAGATGCCATGAGAAACCTGCCGTTGTGAGACGTCCGGTCGTTCAAGTTGACTTTATAATAAGCTTTGAGAGTGGTGCACGCATACTGGAGACCTTTACTTAAAATCCATACGAACGACATATATTTTGAACAATTATCTAGGTCAGTGTATTAGTAGAACCTAAGAGGCAGTTCACTATTCAAAAACGTATCCAATCAAGAAACGAGAGCCCGAAAGACCGGGAATGGTAAAAGAATAATCAAAGGAGTAAGGATTGTGTAGATAGTCGCCGGATGTTCAACGAGAGCTAAACGGACACGCTTACGTCGGAATCTGGAAGGACACAACATCGACAGGAATAACTTCAACTGCTGCAGCCGTGTTGACAAAGTTAGGAGCATCCTGTTGGATGAGGGTGATGAATTGGGGGTTCTTGGAGGTCTGAACACAAGGTAAGCCTTTGCACGATGCTTCCGAATCGCAACAGTGACTTACATCGAGGAGGTACTTATGGGTGGGACCGGCGACCTGAGCGACGGCGTCCCATCCGCTGAAAGGGGTGAAAGGGTTGGGGACCGTAGACTGAGCAGGGCTGAGTGTGAGCTGGGCGTAAGACAAACATTGTCAATTTCAAAAAGCGATATCATCCACGTAATTGTCCCACCTGTTCGTACTTGGTGATATCCTGTCCGACGCCGGTATTGCTAATGAAATTGTTAACCTTGGCCGCGTGAGTGTTGCGGAAGTAGGTAGTGAAGTCGGTATAGCTCATGCCGTTCTTGTGCGTGAAATCGACGACAACTCGCTTGGTATCGGTACGAATGACTTTGTACGCCGGGGGGCTGGGCTCCGTGTTGATGGAATGAGCAATGTCGAAAAACCCATAGCCAGCACTGCTGAAGTCGGTAAAGTACATGCTATCAGGGAGGACGTTGTCGTTGTACTCGTCGCCAGAGAAGCACTGTTGAAGTCGGGACGGTGGGTATCTATCAAATATCGAGTCTGTCCGGACTAACCTCCAAGATCTTGTCCGCTGTCGCCGCCTCGGCGATCAAAATGCCATCATAGTTGGGCACAGTGTACCCTTGAGCAGCGAATTTCTGCATCCACTCCTGGTTGACGTGGAGCTGCAGAGACGAATGTTCAGTGAGAGAAGGTCTCGAAGAGCGCAAATGGAGACATTACTGACCTGCTCGTACTTGAGCATGTTCGCCTTCACCGCTGCCGTGTTCAAGAACAGGTCGGCATGGGGGCCCCTCCAGTAGTCAGAGAACTGCTGGAACGTCAGGTTCGCGTTTTTCCTGAACCATAACATCATCCTAACGCGGCCAGCTACGACATCGCGTTCGACAATGGAGGGAAGAACACTCGCAGTGGTGACTGCGATGAGAGCGAGGAAAAAGACGATGGCAGAGCGCATTGTGAAAGAAGACAGAACACAGAAGGACTATGAGAATGAGAGTGCAAGGAACTTGCTGAAGAAAAGAAGAAAAATCACCTCCCTTTAT